GGGCTTGAACTCACTATGTAGCCCAGGCTGGGTTGGAGTTCGTGGCAATCTTCCTGCTTCAGCCTCCTAAGTGCTGGAATTACACGTGTATGCAACCTTGCCCAGCTAGAAATACTTTCAATGTTTAATAAAGTGTCTAAAAATTAACCTTGTAATGTTGATTAAGAGTGTGCAAATGACTGATCTAGACTTCCAAGGTTTTTTTGTTTTTATTTTTGTCTTTTTAAGACAGGGTCTCTCTATGCAGTTCAGGCTGGCCTTGAGCTCACTTTGTAACCCTGGCTGATCTTGAACTCAAAGTGATCCTTCTGTCTCAGCCTCTGGAGTGCTGGGATTACAGGCGTGCGCCACCACACCTGGTGTTAGACTTCCATTTTAAATTCAAATCTTAAAGGTTTATACACTGTTTTAGAACTTCTAAGAGAAATCACAACTCATCATATGTATTAGCTTAATTTATTAGTTTAATGAGAATTACTTAAGAATTTAGGAAGGTTTTTGTAATCAGAAAATTGATGTTTAGCCAAGCGTGGTGGCACACTCCTATAATCCCAGCACTTGGGAGGTTGAAGTAGGAGGATCACCTGGAGTTCAAGGCCAGCTTGGGCTACATACCGAAGAAGGAAAAAACAAAAAAGAAAATTGACATATTTGAAAAAAGACAGGGCCAGGGATATAGCTCAGTGGCATAAGTTCCTGCCTGTAAAGTGCAAGGTCCTGAGTTCAATTCCTGGTACCAAAAAAAAAAAAAAAAAAGACAAATTATTAAATTTATAAATACATAAATATAGTTTAAAATGATTAACAAATTGGATCGGACATCAATTTGTTACATTTATAACTAGAATGATAAACTGAATATTTTTAATGTAAAAGCTTAAGATTTTGAATTTAAAAGTAATGAATATGAATTTTTAAAAATCCACCCAAATAATTGTTTTAGGCTGAAAACTCTTCAGTGCACTTTAAAAATGTTTTCCTTTTCTTTTTTGTGTTACTACAGAGAAAGTTCTGAGGGAAACATCTGAGTCTATACTATGACTCCTTCTCCAGAGTGAATTGCCAAGAAGAGAGCGTTTGTGCAAGGTGAGCAGGCGGCCAGCGCACAGGGTCTGGAAAGCAAGGTAGAGGTTAATCAGAGCGACACAACCTAATCTCCGCTGCTCACTTTCTCCCTGGACTTGTTTCCCTAGTCACCTTCAGGCCTGCAACTGCATACCTCGCACCACCTTCAGCTTGGCATTTTAAACACTTAGCTCATTTTTTCCTCATATGCATCTCGGCTTTGGCCAAAAGGCCTTTCTTCAGAAGTGATGTATTCAGGACATGTCGATTGCCCAGCCCCCGGCGGGAAACCTTGCACTCATTTTTGCCTCTTTCCCTCCTTCTCCCCCACTGAAACTCAGTTATCCAGCCCCACCGCCTTTCTGTGCTAGGTCTACTCTCTTCCAATGTCCTTGGTCCCTGCCATCATCTCTGACTGTGTGGCCTTGTACTAGACACTGCCGGCAGTCACTGCAATAATTATTTTTAGTCTTTCCCAGCATGGCTCATCAGATTTTTGTCTCTAATATATTATTTGCATGAGTTTTTACTGACTCACAAGTGTTTGTCAAATAAAACCTAAATTCCCCTTGACATCCAAGATCTTTTCCAGACTAGGAGTACCCCTTAGCTGGGCGTGGTAGCACACAGCTGTAATCCCAGCACTGGGAAAGCTGAGGCAGGAGGATTGCTGCAAATCTGATTGGGCTGCAAAGTGAGCTCAAGGCCAGCCTGAACTGCATAGTGAAACCCTGTCTCAGAAAAGACAAAAGCAAAAAAGGAATACTCCTTAGCATTTCTATCTTTCAGGATTCCTGAAGGTGCCCATATATTTTTGCCAAGCTAATTCTCCGGTCACATTCTCTGTGTGACACTACAAGGCCCGCTTTGTCTGTCCGGAAGGCTCTGACTCCTTTTGTTTTCAACCCTCAAATCTGGTTTCTTCCTCTTTTTCTTAATCCTGTTCAACACTCACCTCTTCTAGAGTTTATCCTAGGTCTTATTTGGCTGTGTACAACTCTCAATCTCTGCAGCATCTGTGTGCATTTCGGTGTGTTTATCCTACTCTATAATGGTGTTTTTGATTGTGCGTGGATTGTTTCCTTAAAGAGACAAATTTTTTAGGGAAGAATTTTACTCACCTTGCCAACCAGAAGGGTCATTATGGTGATGAAATGAGATAGTTTCTGTGGAAGTACTTTATAAGCTACATGATTGTATTCACAGTGTGAGAATAGCTGTGGTGTGGCTGAAAAGCCAAGGGTTTGAATTTGGAAGTTGAACTTGGCCGAGCTGGGTTCATTTGTTAGTTCTATTTCTTACTGGTTGTGCGGTTTGAAGCAAAATTTAATCTCTCCCGAGTGCCGGGGACCTTACTAGTAAAATGCCCATCAGTTGCTCCTCAGAGTAGAGGGGTTAGAAAGATCACATAAACTGACATCAATTAAAAATTTTTTAGAAACATTAAAGCACTCATAAATGTGTATTTTTCAGTGCACACTGACTAATAAATGTGGACACAGATACCAGTACGTGTTGCCTTAGTGACTCAGAAACTTTACAGGCTGAAGGGCACATACCAGCACGGCACACGCAGCATGGCTTCCCAACTGGTGAATCACAACAGAGGCAAACAGCTCCTGGTGGTCCAAACCCGTCAACCATCTCTGACTTAACGAAGGATGTAAAGGGGACCCCAGATAGTTGTGGGTGCAATCAAAAGCCTTTTAGCAAGCGTTCGGGGATGAGGGACCGTGTGAAGCATGTAGCATTGTCCCGAGTACCTCGGGTTCTGGGCCTTGTATTTGAAATACATTTAATATTTGCTTGTTCAATGGTTTTGCTGTGGCAAATATTAATTGTATACAACAGTGTGCCTTCAAGCAATATTTTCGGCTCTGGAGAGACACCAGGGCAGACAATACCAGTCCTAGTACTCAGGGTCCCTGTATTCCAATGGACAGAGATAATGAGCAGATAAAATAATTACAGATTAATCCTGAGTGCTATGCAGAAAGTGGTACTGCAGGGCGAGAGTGGTCGCAGGGGCAGGGAGCACCGCAGGAAACATCAGCGAGGTGGTGACACTTCAACTGCAGCTGTAGAATGAATTCAAGAGCCACAGAAAAAGCTTAGGGTGGAGCACACCAGGCTCCACCCTGGCATAGGCTCCACCCAGAAGCATAGATAAGGGCACTGCAAGCAGGACAAGTGGGCTGGTTAAGAGCCTTATGTGGCTGCTCCTAGAATTCTAGAGCCAGGTCTCACAGTGGCTGAGGACCTTGGGTCTTATTCTATGTGCAGTGGAACAACTAAAGCGGTTTATGTATTATTGAAATGAAAATTGTGCCACTCACATGCAGAGTTATCATAATATAATATCTTGAGTTACTTCATAAAATTTAACTAGATTTGGTCCTGAAAGGTTTAAAGAATAGATCCAGGTACGGTGGCGCACACCTGTAATCCCAGCACTCGGAAGGCTGAGACAGGAGGACTGCTGTGAGTTCGGGGCCAGCATGGGCTACAAAATGAGTTCAAGGTCAGTCTGAAGTGCATAGTGAGACCCTGTCTCAAATCAATCCCCTGCAAAAACGTTCCAAGACTCAGCTATATCTCCCCAAACCCAGACATGGAATCAGTCATCTTTCATTTTTTTCTCTTTTTTTTTTTTCCATCTTTCTTTTTTCTTTGTTTTGTCTTTTTGTTTTTGTTTTTTTCTGGTACCAGGAATCAAACTCATGACCTTGTGCTTGCCAGGCAGGCGCTATGCCGCTGAGCTAAATCCCCAGCCCCTTTTTTCCATCTTTCTAAGCTATATAGGTTCCTTTAGTGAAAAATGATATTAAACCCCAAATTTAAATAATTAGAGTATATATGATCAAGCTCACAGTGGTGGGGTAATATTGTTCCTTGGCCACTTCATTACACAGAGCTAAAAAAAGTCATGTTTTATTTATTTATTTTGTTATTTTTGAAACAAGGTCTTGCTGTGTTGCCCAGCTGGTCTTGAACTCACGGAAATCCTCTTGCCTCAGATTACAGGCGTGTGCCACCATATCTGGCTAAAGATAGATTTTTATGTGGAAGGAAATGAGTAGTGTCTCAAAATTTTTAGTGAACAGGAAGTAGTACTGATATAGGAGGTTAGGGTGTGGCAATACTTGCTGGTGAAGAAGGTGTGACTTATGGATTACAAGATCCTGGACACAGACACAGGACAGTTGCCAAAGCCCTCCATGCAGACTCCTCACAAGAACTGGAGCAGGTTTTCAATAGGACGGCCTAGACCTGATGTCAGCCTGAGGCATGGGATCCCAGTGCTGCCTCATAGGACCCTTATGTAGAAGTTCTCTTGGGTTTCCTTGAGATTTGGACAGTGTAAAAGGACACAGGTGCCAAGAAGACCTTGCTATCATGGCTTTCCTCACAATGACCTGCTCTGTGTCCTCTAGGTTATACTTTTTTTTTTTTTTTTTTAAACAGGGTCTCACTATGTAGTTTAGGCTGGCCTTGAACTCACTATGTAGCCAAGGCTGTCCTCAAACTCATGGAGAGCCTCCTGCCTCAGCCTCCCAAGTCTTGGGATCATGGGTGTGTGGTCCGCACCCAGCTTCCAGGGTGTCCTTTTCTATTGCTTTTTCTTTTCTTCTCTACGGAGCCAGCTTCTCCCTCACTCTTCACTTTTACTTTTTCAAATAAACATTGTCACTGATTTTTGCTTGTTTCACTGAATTCTTTGTTCAAGACCAGAAGAATCTGGAATTCAACTCCAGAAGTAGAGGCAAGCACCCCCAAACCTGGTAACATTTATTTGGCAAGCTGCTTTTACAAGGAGCTAACCAATTGCAATATCACTGAGTAGCCTGAAATAATTCTCAGTGATTACATGGAGGTTTACATTCTAGACTATACAATCACAGACTTCCCAAACAGAGTCACATTGGACAGGGACCTGTACACATAATTCTGTTACTGTAATCGTTTGACAAATACTTGTGAGGACATAAGCAGTTTTCTGGCCTTTAGTATAATTGTGTTTTCTTTCTCAGCTTCTGATTGAGCCAAAAGAAAGATTTCTAGAAGAAAAGTTGTTGATATCTTGTCGGTTTCCTAAAAGAAAAACAAACCAATGAAGCAGAGTTACAAGAGATGCCTAATAGTAATATAGAGGCAAAACTCATTTCTTCATTTCACGTGACAGGTGGGTCGTCTATGACTCCACAGGAGCTGCCTAACCTACAGGAGGTGGACCTATGATCAGCACAGCACTAGTGGGACTGGCCTTGGGCCCAGCTGGGAACTGGCCTGCTCAACCTCATTTGGCTCCCCGAGCTTTTGTTCCGTGTAAGGGGCTCCTGGAGTTGGGGTTGTTATCATACTGGGGGCAGGACACACATCGCTACTGTCATGGCCCTAGACAAAGCCCTCCCAAAGCTGATTTCAGTGCTCCTGTACCCAGAGCACCTTGTGCTCGCTCTACCGCTGTACTACTCATTTCATCGCATTGTAATTGCCAGCAATCACATCTGTCACCCTTAAGACTATGACTTCCTTTGTACCATATTTTACTGCTATAGAGGCATCCTGAAAGCACACCTTTTCAGCTGGGAGTTATTACAGCCCTCGTTGCTCACACCAAATGGGCCTCTTGATGTTAGACTCAAATACTTCACAAAAACTAGTCAACTCTGATTTATCTTATACAATGAGATACACGTTATTCTAGACATGTCCTAGGAAGCTGTATCTCAAAAACTAAAATCTCCAAGGCACTTGAAGTAGTCAAATTTTCTAGAGAACTTTGTAATCCATTTACTAGGATGTAAAACAAAAACCCACAGGTGAATTCCATGATGTTGATGTTATTACACATTCCTCAAGGTAGGGGTTCTGTTGCCCATTTTTTGTATCTGCAGTGTTTGAAGGTGCTTAACATTTATTCAATAAATATATATTGATTGCACAAAGTTATATGTGTTAATGTATACCCTTCTTTTTAATCACCAGTCTGGGATAGCTGTCCTTTAGTCACCTATCAGAGACTTCGATTTGAAAGTGACTTCAATTTGAAAGCAACTTCAATCCAGCTTTTTTAAAAAACCCAGAAGGAGCCATTCGCAATTGGATCCGAGGCCTAAGGGCTTTAACCACCCTCAGTTCCTGCCGATTGGGAACCTTTATGTCAAAGCTGGCTTTCAACAACAATGCCTTTACTGGATTATAACTAGCCACTACTGAGAGTTGAAACAAAAGGAAAAATCCACATTAAAAAATTATTCCTGCATTTTAATAAAAATTTCTATTTGAAACAGTTGTCTAATTCTCTCAAAAGTAAGCTCCAGGAGGGCAGAAACTTCACAGGCTTTAACTCGTTAGAGGCAGTGTCTTGGCACACACTGAAGGCCTAAGTCAATACTTGATCTGCAATGAATGAAGGAATTATATTCCTTTATACAAAGAGCTACACAATATATATTTTTTTTAAGTTTTACTATAAGGAAAAAGGTTAATCTTCCTAAATCAACCTCATGTGCTGCTTTTCTTTAGACAGTAAGAATATTTTCTCTGCCTTCACTTCCAGGAAGATTAAAGTGACACCATTCCAAGAATACCTTAATTGGTCCCTTCTTGTCTTTCATCTTTCAAATTCTGTGCTTTTACACCGTCGCCAGAATTACCTTACGAAACATAACATAAGCACAAGAGATCAGATCCTGTGCTTCCTTTTCATTCATGTCCCAATCTGTTTTTCCAGTTTGCAAGCCCTGACGGGTTCTGTGCTTGTCCTTCTCTCTTACCTGCCTTTATAATCCCCACACCTCGCCTGTCCACCACGCTTAACCACGGGCTTCCGTGCCCTCCGCACACACTGCTTATCCTCACCTCCACGCATTCTTCATGTTATTTCCCCCACTTCACAAGCCCTCTCCTCTCATTATTCTAAGTACTTGTCCCTCCTTAATTCCCACATCAAAGACCCTGTCTTTTGAAACTGGCACTTGCCTGTCTTTGCATCAAAGTGGCTCTACTTCTGAAGCCTCAGTTTATTCACTGGCAATGCTACAGTTTCCTGCCGGATAGGGTTGTGTGAGGAGGCAATAAAATTGCCCAGGTTCAATGAATATCCATGCGCAACACATATTAACTCTTAATAAAATTTCTTCTATGCAGCTGAAATGTATTTTATTCTTTATATCTTAAATTAGGTACTTAAGTAATCTGTCCCTTAAGAGCAGTGTTCCTAGAGTATAATGCAGTTTAGAGCTTCCTTGCATAGACCCCTTTCACATAACAGGCAGCTTAGTTTTTCTGTTATGCATGATGAATGGGCTATTTAACACTGTCTCAATGGGGTCAACGCATTTTTCTGTTCTCTAAATTAGTTTACGACAGTAACAGTTGTATCTTGTATCTTGTGCATGTTTCTGTTTGATACTTCTGCCGTACGCTTGAATTTGATATCTGCCTGATCAACTGACCTGTGATTATATTTAGAGAAATGGGAAATAATATTGAGAGCAGTGTTATACCTTGTGCCATCTAAGCGTTCATATACTATCTTACATAAATCATGATAATCCTATTAGGGAGGTAACAGCATTCGGGCCACATTCAAGGATCTGCGCAAGTACACTGGTATAATGCAAATGGCTATGCCCTTAGAGAGCACTTGGTAAGAAACCATAGTGTTTTGAGATTTCTCTGAGCTTCTTATTCTCTTCTACAACAAAGACATTGGTTACACACACACCCCTCCAGCATTTTCTCGGGTTTACGAGCCTGAGTTTATGACCCTAATTGGGTCTCTGGCTCAGGATTCACGTCTTCTTACTTGGCAACTACTTTTTCAAAACTAAAGTTAGGTGATAATCATCTGACACACAATCTAGACGCAGCACCCAACTTCAAACTCTTTTTTAAGTCTTGTATTCCTTCTACGTGGGTGTGAGGAAAATATATGATGATTATAGAAGAAAACAAAATCCAAATGGGTTCGTTATAGGAAATCTTTCTGACCCTGGGCTTAACAATTTATACATCTGAGTAGGTTATGTGCCTACCAACCTAGTAAACCAAGGAAGCAGGTAGCTGATCTTCTTCAACATCATATAGTTTGGGTCTTATCATAGACATCATATAATACATGTATATTTTTTTTATTTTAAAAATCAACAAAGCCGGGTGTGGTGGTGCATGCCTGTAATCCTAGAACTTGGGAGGCTGGGGCGGGAGGATTGTCACGAGTTCAAGACCAGCCTGAGCTACAAAGTGAGTTCAAGGCAGCCTGAACTGCATAGTGAGACCCTGCCTCAAAAAGACAAAAAGAAAGAATCAATAGAAAGTATGCCTCTTTAGTTGGGAGGGGCCTGCTGAGTTTATTTATTATCCATCTCAAATATATCTCTCAGGATTACCTAAAGATCTTTTTTGGGGGGAGGGTGGGGTACCAGGAATTGAACTCAGGACCTTGAGCTTGCCAGGCAGGCGCTGTGCTGCTGAGCTACATCCTGGGCCCCTGAAGATCTTATAAAGTCAGCCAACTTCAATTCGTCTTACATTACAGAAGACACTTTAAATTAGTCTGGATAAATTCGGAATGTATCCTGGATATAAACTGAAAATATATATCTCTTGTGGAGTTCAAGAGAACAAGTTCTCTGGAGAGCCTTAGAATTTATCCATTAAATAAAAACAGGCTCATTGAATGATGTTAGACAGCTTAGACAGCTTAATGGCATTAGACAGCTTAGCCCCCACAGCGAGATGCCGTGCCTATAAAGACATTACTCTACCCGGAAGCTTTCAATCTAAAATTAGGCAAGATAGATAAACATAGCACATTTTTAATACAAAAGAAAAGACGGGAGAAAAAAACTTAATATTCACCTTTTATTTTTGGTGAATCAGAAATGCAAAGGAATTGGCAGATATTTCATCTACTGCCTTTTCCTGGTAGACTTAGTTGCCTATACCAGAAGGAATTATGCTGTTAAAGTCAAAGAGGAATTTTCTGATCGTGCCTGAAGGATCTAGAATCACTGCTGCACAGTGTCCTCAGTTCTGGAGGTCCAGAAACGCCTCTTGTCCGGGAGTTCTTGTTTGTCTCTGCCTGACTTGGAGCATAAACAGTCCACTACTTCCAGATTCAGCACCAGAAACGAGAGCCCCGCCAGTATGTTAGGAAATACTCCTCGCCTGGAAGTACCATGCCGCACCAGCGCACCTACTGTGGGGTACGCACAGCTCACCCATGTGAGCAACAGGTTGGATAGACTTCCCTATTAACTCATTTCATGATTGGTTCAAAAGCCTAGCTGGCCCTCTCACTGCCATTAGGTAGACCAAAACAAAACAAAACCCTATAGCTTCCAAAGTTCCAGACTTCATGTTAGGTTGTAGGGATACAGATAAATATAACACAGGCTCTCTTATTTTTAGAGACAGCCCATGAACATACTATTTTAAAATAATATAGTAAATATAGTGAGGTAGTCAAGATAAAGCTCAAAGGAAAAGTACCTAGCCCAATCCGGTAGGCAGGAAAGTGTTGGTTACTGGAAAAGAGGAATATTCTGAATTTTGGCAAGAGAGGGTATCCCAGAAGTCAGAAGTATGTTTTAAAGCAGAAGGAAGAAAACAGGGACAAATTTTGCAAACACTGAGTAAAAACGACCTAAATAAAGAACCCCACTGGGTCAATGATGCATGTGGATGGGAAGTTTGAGTTATAGTGGGTTGAGGGTTTCTGGGCGATCAGACCGTAAGAACAAAAAGCTCAACTGGGAAAAGAGAGTGAAGGGAAGAGGATATGTTAAAGGAAGGGTTGTTATAAAAATAGGTTCCTAGGGGCTGGGGATTTAGCTCAGTGGCACAGCGCCTGCCCGGCAAGCGCAAGGGTGAGTTCAATTCCCAGTAGGGCGGGGTAGGGTGGGGCCGGGGAAGGTTCTAGCCAAGTGTGGTGTAATCCCAGCACTTGCGAGGCTGAGGCTGGAGGATCATTGCGAGTTCAAGGCAAGCCTGGGATATAAAGTGAGTTCAAGACCAGCCTGAACTGCATAGTGAGACCCTGTCTCAAAAAGACAAAGAACAAGAGGTTTCTAACTTAAAGTCAGTTGTTGGAAGAGAGAAAGAGATAACTGACGGATCAAAGGAATAGGCTCTTGATTCCAGTTCCAAATCCCACCCTTGTTTTCTTCTGGGCTGGGCTCTCTGACTCTGTTACCTCCCTTTTCTGCAAGACTTTACTTCTAGTTTCCTTTGCACATACTCAGCTGTTACCTCCCTGAAACATGACAGTGACGACCACGAAAGGTAAGAATCGCAGAGGTTTGCAAATCCTGATGACCAGCTCCCTTACCCAAGTATTAATCTACAAAGAACACAAGTATACCTGTCTAGTAACTAAAATGCTTCTACCTATCATATAGGGCATCCATTTCCTGTGATGCATAAACATCCATTTCCTGTGATCCATTTCCTGGATGCCCTGGGAGCAGAAATATCGGACTTATCAGTTGGAAGACTGTACAAAATGGATTTACAAAGAAGTCTTCTGGGAGTTACTTAATCTGAGGGTGAGACCTCTTTGTTAACTGGAGTATTCATCCCGTCCTAGACAGAACTTGCCAAACGTTGCTGACAAAATTTCCCAAACAGATCATTCTTTTCACCTTTGTTATTTGCAGTCATATTTTAATGAGGCTCACCAGAAAATGTACCTTCATCTTCTATTAACAGTATATGAAAAGTCACTGATTTTATTAATAATTTTTTCCGTTTGTCTTGTGTTTTTTGAGACAGGGTGTCTCTTTGTAGTGCGGGCTGGCCTCAAACTCACAGTGATCTTCCTGCCTCAGCCTCCCAGGTGCTGGGATTACAGGCGTGCACCACCACGCCTGGCCTATAGTATTTGGTGGTGTCTAACATTGGGTGTAACCTTTCCCAGTTATTGGTGATCTCCCTTCATTCCTTTTCTACTGAGTTCATTTCCTTCTTTACAACTGTTTTGTTTTTCATGTTGCCTCTGTTCAATAAATTAATGAAACAACCAAATTAAGCTTTCTTTTAAATGACAATAATAGAATTTTCACCTTTTATTTTGAAGAAAACCAATTTAGAACCTAATAGAAAACTGTCCAGGCCTGACTAAATACGAGGACTTTAGTACACGGCTTTTAATGACTAGATGATTATCAAAGGATAATCATATCCTAAGCCTCTTGAGGTCAAGAACTTGGTTTTTTCTCATTTTACTTATAGATCCAGTACTCTCCACTGGGTAGGCATTCAATGGATACATATGAACTGATTTTAACCAGAGTTCTATTAGATTGAGCAGTGATTTGTCATTCATTAATAGTCGTGTCTTCCTAAAGTACAACCGTAAGATCTACTCTTTTGCATAATGAAGCCAGCAAGGCAACATATTTTTCAAAAAATATCCTCATCCTACTAAGATAGGGGGTAGGGGATTGTATAACATTGTTGGTTTAAATTCTATAAATGAGAACCGATGTGAAGTACCTAGTCCATAGCAGGGAATATAGTAGGCATGTATTAAAGTTTATTGAATTGAAGAGTGAATTGGGCAATCATTTAACTTGAGACTGTTCCCTTAACAGTAAAATAAAATTATTACCACTTGCTCCACCTCCCACACAAGATTACCGTCACATGTTTATGCAAGGGCTTTAAAAACTGTAAAAGCGCATTACTACTTTAAAGTGGAATTTATGTTAATGTCATCCCTACAGCCAGTTATGTTTATGGTTATCAACTCATTAAGTGTAGCATTTTCATTGAAATCCACGATACTGCACAAAATCGTCAACACGTGTGACTGTGCTCTTTTAGATTACCCCTAACATCGCCGGATGCAGGGCTCTAGTGCCATCCATATACGAATGGCCGTGAGAAACTTATACTTTAAGGAGAATCGATCATTTTTTTCGACTCCCGTTTTCCATCGCCGAGAAAGGTCTGGCAGAAATCGCACCGACCAGACTAGGAACCCACCCGCGCACTTGGAGAGTGGCCGGGGACCCAGCTCGGCGTCGCCCACTGCAGCCAGGGCGACCGGCAGCGGCCCGCGGCCGGGCAGCGACGCTGAGGTCGCGGTCGCTGTCCGGCCCCCACCCCCCGGG